CAGAGAAGACTAAGACAGCTTCGTTGCAATGTATGACAGATGGCGCTTGAGATATTGCCATAAAGCAACCGTTCATTGTGATTACATTAGTGAATAATCAACTGCGGTAAGCCTTGAGAAGAACTTGTTTCTGGCCTAGTCGGTGAGGTACGGAGGGCGTAGTTTGCCTCTAATAAACACGCACACAAAAGAAGTAAACGTGAATGACATGCTGGGTGGCACTTCTACGTTTATTTGTTTGTGCGAGGGCACAAGAATATATACGCTGACAAAATGCTGTGAGTCCATATAGCGCTAATGTTCTTTTTTTGTGACCATATGACCATATTTTTTACTCCTTACTACTAGACCCGCCGCGTTGGTCTAGTGGCTAAGGTACCCGTCTGCTGACCCACAAGTCGCGGGATTGTATCCCGGCTGCAGTGGCTGCATTTTCGATGGAGGCAAAATACTGTAGGCCCATGTGCTCAGATATGAGTGCACGTTAAAGAACCCCAGCTGGTCGAAATTATCGGAGTCCTCCACTATGGCGTCTCTAATAATCTTATGGTGGTTTAGGGACGTTAAACCCCACATATAAATCAATCATTATTCTTACTAATAAGCTTCTGGCTCGTGGAGGCATACCAGTAACACAAATATATTTCTTCGGAAGCATTCCGCTAGGCCAGAACCGATAACACTTCGAAGTATTTGCTTTTCTTTCCAACAATGTAATCGTCTGAGTACGTAAATGCAAAGAGCCCGACAAGGACGCAAGTAAATAGCAGAGATAGCAAGCCACGAAAGTGACAACAGACACGAACTCGCAGGGTGATGGAACAGTGTTAGGTGTAATTCAACGTATTTGTAAAAGGAGCACCCTAAATTTTGCGTGCTGTTTTCTCTGCTGTTGATTTTATCAGAGAGGCAAACAAAGTTTCGACGTTAGTAAAGCTCGCCATTCAACAGGCAGTGCTATCGGGTCCCGTTAGGGGCGCAGACAGAAATTTATTTCAGGGCTGAGAGAAGGTCGTTGCACCACTTCGATCTTAAGTGGTGGCCGGGCCCAGAGATTTGGTCGTGTCATGGAACGCTCTATATATTATTTTGTGAGATATTTTTCCCACACCACGTTGGTCCAGTGGCTAAGGTACTCGGCTGCTGACACGCAGGTCGCGAGATTGAATCCCGGCTGAGGCGGCTGAAGTTTCAATGGAGGTGAAAACACTGTAGGCCCATGTGCTTATATTTGAGAGCACGCTAACAAACCCCAGGTGGTAAAACTTTTCGCAGCCCTCCACTACGGTGTCTTTAATAATCAAATGAGCGTTTTAAGATATGAAACCACGCATATCACTCAATCAATCAATTATTTTTTTAGAGAGGGGGTTGCACGGACCTGGTGTGCCACTCCTTGGTTACGCCACTGGATCCAATCTATATCGTTTGTGATAGGGGCTGCTTGGCACAACGAACGTGAACGCATTGCTGCCCATGCTCTCAGAGGCTGCCCATAGCCATAATGGCAGTAGCATTAGAACACAAATGCTTGTTCACTCACCATGTGTCTCGTTATTCTACTCGAGCTAGAGAACCATCACAGCGTTTGGAGATGGTGCTTGTCTAACAGCGTGTTCGTGAAACGCAATCGGCTAAGAGAAAAGAATATATATTTTGCCTTCCAGTCGTCTTCAGCATAAGGGACTGAGAGATTCTTCTGTGACATGAACTCGGCAACGCTAATGCGTGCAATGGATTGTTTGGGGCCTTAGACGTCCACGCGAAGAGGCTTGACGGGCTTGCCAGGAAGCGCTAGCTCTGCGCGGGCTCTTGCAGCCGATTGAGTGTCACAGCCGCTCGCCGACTCTTGCCCGCGACCTCCGTTAGCTGGCCCTGTGTGTACACGAGATCACTCTGTAGACAGGAATTCGTGGAAATAAATCAATATGCAGAGCACGTCAGTGCTACAATGGCAAGAAATGGGCCTTGTCAAGGGGCTAATACACGTTTTCTCTGTAATATTTTTGAACTTTATCGGCAACATACATCGCGTGGTTTTATTAATTCCAGAACGCTAAGCTGGGATTGCCGCTGACATTGCCAAAACAGGAGCATCACGCCTGTGTGTTAGTGGGACAAGTAAAATAATTTAAAAGTACAGCGTCACCCCGTTTTCACCTATTATTCAGTGATGTTATATTTACAGTCATCACCATTGTCACTACTGACAGGCTACTTGAACACTAAAACGGGTCCTGGGGATCTGCGCAAGATGCCTGTCGTTTGGCCAAACTCGGAATCTTTCGGAACTTTGGCTACAACCGCTTTTGAACGAGCCAACAGTACGAGCCGAACTAATCTATCCCTCAGCCCGGAATGCGTTTCATTGGTTACGATGGAACACAGCGTCACGTCAAGGACAGTGACAAAGTTGGTTGGTGTCTTTGAACCAGAGGCATCTTCTTTCATTCGTTTGTTGTTACACTGTTACACTCAGTGTAGAAGTGCACCTATGCAAGAAAAGTGCCAGAAAAGTTTACTAACGATATTTTTAGATGCGCGGACTGTTTAAATTTTATTTAGTACCTCTAAGTATCTTTTTCAATAATCAGCGCCATGACCTCTGAGATTGCTACCGGCCTGACAACATTGTGGCCGTTGCTAATGCTGAGGGCACGTATATAACCATGATGGTTGCAAGTACATTTCAGCTTGTTGCTCGGCTGGCGCACGCCTTTTTCGCCATCTTCCTGATCCTGTACTAGGTCCCTGAGCACGTGTGGCCGGGTGAGTAGCTATTTGACTAGACGCCATACCAACCTAATTAACATGTCATTGAGCAAACTGATTATGTGAAGTGATGCCAATACAGAGCTAATTAAGCGACGTCTTAATAAATACCGTGCTAATGAAACTGCTGATAGCTAAGACCACGCTAGTAAAGACCATGCCAACACTGTAACAGTTAGCTGAAGCAGGAACATAAAGAACGTTTATTGATAGCAGCTGTTGGGTTTTATAATGGCACTGACACGTGCAAGCCAGTGTCGGCGTTGATGTCAGCAGTTGGTGGGTACAAGCGCTGGTACGCACAGCACATGCGTATCTTGCACTATGCATCTCTGCTGTTTATCAGTTCTTTGAAACACGTCACTCATTCACTGGATTAAAGTTGCGATTGTAGTGCAGCCTGTTTGGCAACCTCCTGTTTCTGGTCGAGCGCCTAAACCTCAGTGTATACTGTCGATCGGTGGAGGATGTAGAAGTGTTCGCGTCCTGCTGTCTCGGACCACGCTCTTGCTCGTTGAAGGGCTCGCACTTGTTATCCGATTCCTCGATTTCAAGTGTGCTGCTCTCTAAAGATTCCAACGTCGCACTTAGATGCCTGCGGTTGCAACGAAGCAGCTCGTTATCTTCGGTACACACCGTATATGCCCGTGGCGCTGCTTGTCCTACTACTTGCGCTTTTCGAGTCCACTGTTTGTCCTGAACCCTCACAACTTGTCCTTTCTGGAGGTCCGGCAGAGATTTGGCACCAGTATCTCGTGGCTGGCGTTTGTAGACGGCTGTTTTCTTCTGGCGGCGGAAGTCCGCAAGGCATGTACGTAGTCTCCGGCCTTGCAAGAGCTCCCCCGGCGACCAACCGTCTTCCACTGGCGTCGCACGGTAGGATAACAGTCCCGATTCAAAGTCCTGCTATGTCTTGCAACAGAATCAAAAGTTGGGCTAGTTGGATATGCATGGTATAATTGTCAGTTCCAGTGCACGAATAAACAGAAAGGAAAAGAGGTCAAGTACTTTCTGGCGACTAAACAATTTATTAGAAAGGAAAGAATATATAAACAGCCATTCAAAAAACAACGCGTGCGTGTGCAGGCAAAAAGTACACCTGTGGCACCTCGAAAACACAAAGTAAAAGGAGAAATATTATCTCGGAACATAATATAGAAAGCAAACTCTTTATCGTGCAGCAAAACCGAAGGCTGGCTAACGCATTGTTTTCCTCTTTTTCTTATGTGAAAAGCTTCTGTCAACTCACGCGTTAATTGATTGTTAGATCGAAAAACCACTTCAGTATCCTGCAAAAGAGGATAGCAACCGCACTTTCTGCAATGAGCCACGAGATGCGAGGCACCAAGGATTTCAAAGAAGAATCATGCTCTCTAATATGAACATAGATGCACCTTCCCGACTGACCTATGGACACTTTACCGCAGCAAAACGAGTCATGTAAACAACGCCCATTGTGCAGTTCACGAAACTTTTGCTGTGTTTTATGTGACATTGCGGAAACTCTCTGCGCATGCGCGAACAAAAACACTGCAGTTTGCTTTTGGCTGAGAAAAGCACATCGATTTTAAATCTATTACCGAGCTGCGGAAATTCATGCGATGTCCTATGAAGGTGAGGAATTACTGCTGTCCTCCTACCTTTTCCGCTCTCATCACGATGCACCGAGTGGCAAGTTTCTCCACAACAGTACGAGATGTGGAGTCGTTTAGCTTTTCAACTTGGGGGAAGTTGGAGAAGGCATGATACACGCACAAGTAGAAACTCCCGGCATGCTGGGAAATATCGATTCTGACCCTGTACCATGCATAATGCGGTGTTTCTCACATTTTAAATGGTTCACGTTGTTGTTCGTACGCATATTTCCTGCAAACAGCACAAATGTTTTGCAACCTTTCGATGTCGCTGTCGAGTCCGCGCCAGAAAACGAGTTCACGAGTTGACGAACTCTTGTTTTAGTTTTATTTAAACCCAAGTGGTCCTCTTGTATCCGTTGAAGCATTTCCGCCCTCATCAATTTCGTTATGACTACTTTAGTCCCTTTTAGCACATTGCTTCTACCAGTGATGATTCTGCCGCGAACGGCCTCATGCTGCCGACCAAGCTACAGTCTTCTCTTATGAATCGTATGACTGACTGAAGATCGGCATCTTTCTCAGTAGCTTCAACAAGCCGACTCAGTGTTTTGCTGCTCACCATGTCCGTGATCACACCTACTGCATGCACCTCTACGTTGTTCCGGGAGGGCCCGATGTCCCGTGGTTTTTTGGGAGCCCTTGATAACATGTCGGCCAGCAGCAACTTTTTTCCTGGAACAATGTGAAGAGAATAATCATATCTCAACAGGTTCAGAAAAAAAAACGTTGAAGCCTTGGTGGCATATCGCCGATTCCTTTCGACGCAATTGCTAAAAGTGGGCGGTGATCCGTCTCGACAAAAAATTTCTGGCCATAGACAAAATAGTAAAATTTGTCACATCCATATGTCATTCCCATTGTTTCTTTTTCTATTTGCGAGTATCTCTGCTCCGTGTCAGTCATGACACGCGACGCGTAGGCAACAGGACGCCAGCTATCTCCGTGACGCTGCAACAGCGCAGTTTCTAGCCCATCTTTTGATGCGCCCATATAGTTTGGTGCGTCCATACGTCCGTAAAATAGCTAGTACAGGTGTGCTGCTTACAACTGTTTGAATAGCTGCCCACTCGGCGGTATGCTTTTCTGTCCACTTAAAGATTGTGTCCTTTTTAATAAGACCGCGCAACAACTTGGTCTTGTCGGTCAGATGCGGGATATGCTTGCCAAAGTAACTTGCCACACCAAGCATTCGCTGAGCCGCCCGCTTATCAGTCGGGCGCGGAATTTCCGCTATTGACGCACTGAATGCGGGATTTGGCTTTATCCCCTCTTGACTGATGATGTCACCCAAGAACTCGACCTCTCTGCATGCAAACTTGTATTTGGCTGCATTAAACGTCAGACCCGCATTCTTTGCTAGTTATAGCGCCCCGCGAAGGCGCTCGTCGTGTTCTGCCCGGGTAGCACCCCATACCAGGACGTCATCGACATACACACTGGTGCTCGATCGAAAATGGAACTCAACGTTTTTTGAAACACTTCAGGCGCTGACGAAAATCCAAACGGCAGTCTCAAGAAACGGTAACGCCCAAAGGGAGTAGCGAACGTACAGATGCTTGATGTGGCCGGATCCAATGAAATCTGATGGAAACCCGAGTTTGCATCGAGGCGAGAGAAATATTTAGCACCCGCTGGTTCTGCCTGGATGTCATCTCGCTTCGGCATCTGATAGTGCTCGCGCTTCAGGCACTAGTTGATGCTTCTAGGGTCCATGCAAACCCTCAGTTGGCCACCTTTTTTTCTGACAATGGCGAGAGGACTCACCCAATCTGTTGGTTCACTGATCCTTTCAATGATGTGGGCTTCTTCTATGCATTGCAGCTCCGCTCGCAGTGGCTTTTTGAGTGCCAAGGGGACGCGTCGTGCTCGCTGTATCACTGGTATGGAATCTTCATGCAAGACCATCCCGTATGGGCGGGCTACACAGCCGGTACCCTGGAAAAGCTGCGGGAATTCTTGGAGCACTTTGTCAGAGCTTTGGGCATCCACTGTGTCGATTGAACGCACCATCAATCCCAGCGCCTCCGTTGCGTGTAGTCCAAATATCGCTTGTTTGCTCTTCTTCACTATGAAAAAGGTAAAGGTGCCAGACTTGTCATTCATGACCACTGGCACGGTGGCCACACCGAAGTGTTTAATGACGTCCCCACTGTATGACCGAAGGACGGAGCTGCTGGGCTTCAGGTCACCATTCGCTTGGTATTTGCGAAAGACACAATATGGCAGCAAGTTAGCCTGGGATCCAGTGTCTACTTTCAAAACAACCTGCTGGTTAGCTACTTTGACTACGACCGTCCAGTCAGCTGTCCTTTCAAAGACGCACATTCTGACATTGAGGATGTCGAAGTCGTTCTCGTCGTGTACTACGGCGCCGACGGCAGGTTCTTTCCCGCAGCATGCCGCGAAGTTATTGGCCCTCTTGCACGCAAAATGTGTCTTCCCTAACGCCGGGCATTTGTTACGGTCATGCGTTCGATTGCATCTGCTACATGTGAACCGTTGACGCTATTTCACGGCCACTACGTGCTTATCTGCTTGGGTCCAGGTCTCATTTTGGTGACCTGACACTTCGGCCGCTTTGCATATCTGTTCTGCCTTGAGCAGCGTGAGCTGTTTAATTTTGAGCATCTTTTCGCGTAACTTCGGATTATTCGTGCCAAATACAATTTGGTCACGAATCATAGAGTCGCTCAATGTTGAGAAGTTGCAAGTCTGAGCTAGCTTTCTCAGGTCGCGCAGGAAAGGTTCAAAAGGTTCGCCTTCGGCTTGGCTCCTTGAACGAAACGCATACTTCTCGTAGACTTCATTTTGTTGCTCCTGACAGTACGCTTCAAAGTTGCTCACAACTGTTGCATAGTCATCCTTTTCTTCTTCCGCCGTGAGAGTGAATTGTTAAATACCTCCAGTGCGTTCTCTCCAGCCACACTCAGCAGCAGTGCCGTCTTAGCAGCCTCTGTCCGTAGTTCTTTGGTGGACGTTGTTGCCTTCAGGAGGCGCTCAAATTTCTGTTTGAACAACGCCCACTTCTTTGCGATGTTCCCTTTTCTGGCTTACTGGCGTCACACCTCCCCGTTTCTTCAAGCCATTGTGCGGTAGGCTAACAATCATCCCACTTCTGACACCATGTAACAGTCAGTTGAAGCAGGAACAGAAAGAACGTTTATTGATAGCAGTTGTTGAGTTTCATAGTGCCACTGACACGTGCAAGCCAGAGTCGGCCTTGACGTCAGCAGTCGGTAAGTACAACTCTGGTACGCACAGCAGACGCGTATCTTGTATCATGCAAACGCGATGCCAATTAGAGATGCGTTAATGAGACACTAAAGTCGATGTTGATCGCTGAAATAGCAGTGTAGAAACCTTGTAGTGCTAATTGTGTGCCAAGTAAGTGCTTATGTTAAAATTAAATAACGTTTTAGTGGCCCGCATCGCGTTGACACACTTCAAATTACCCAACCCAAGTGGAACCTTTTACGTCACTGTTGCCGTACACAACGCTGTCAGGCTTTACTGCGTGGCCGTCAACGCAAGTAACTGCAGAACAAAAGTAGGGAGAGCCCAAGCAGCAACGACGACCATTGAACAATTTCCTGCCATGAACTCTGAGATGGCAGACGTGCTTGGTTCAACTGGGCTCTGCTAGAAGGCACGAAAACAACGACCATTGAACAATTTCTTGCCATGAACTCCGAAATGGCAGGCGTGCTTGGCTCAACTCGGTCCCGCTAGAAGGCATGACCTGTCTAGTTTAACAAGGCAAAAATTGAACTTTTGAACCGCTCGTGCCATTTGCCATAGTAACATCTGGTGGTTCTTCTTTTCATAAATCAAACAGAAATGAACAAGCAGCATTTTATTACGCCTCCTATTGCACGGAAGCTTCTTTACTTAGTCCAGCTAGCTCAATTACTAGTGATTGATTGTAGGCTGTAAGTTTGACATCATCAGAATCATTAAGCGAACGTCCTACTCTCAACACATGTGTTCTCGTTCATTTACAATAATTTCTCGGTAAGTAGAACACTGCTGTTGATAATATTGTGGTTTTAGACGTTGTCATACCATACATTGAGGTTCCCCTCTGACTTAAATTGTTATTTCAGTTTAGCGATCCCTTCAGTAAAACCAGGTTAATTACTTGAGGATCTAGCTAATTAAAATTTTGAAAGTTAGGATTATGCTAGATCGAACCTAACCAATCATTTGGCTCATTAGACTCGAGATTATCAATCCTTGGGGTTTAACGTCCCAAAACCACGATATGATTACGAGAGATGCTGTATTAGATAACTCTGAAACTTTCAACCCCCCGAGTTCATAAACGTGCGTCTAAATCTTACGTGTTCACCCCCATCAAAACGTGGCCGCTGCAGCCTGGATTCTGTACCGGGAACTGCGGGTCAATAGCCGAGTGCCTTAGCCACTATACTGCCATTTCGTTTAGGCTCAAGAATATTGATGTGTTAAATAAAACCTTATCAATAAGCACAAAACTATTCCATATCACGTTAATTAAGCTTTCTTTATTTGTCCGATCAAAATTGAGACCAAACGTACGCAGTCTTCACTCCGAAGCAGAGCGAGTGGACTGAGTAGACGAGTCACGTAAAAATGGCATCATATCCAAGGAGTGAATGATGGAGAGCGGGGCGAAGCATTCGTCCGTCCATTCGTTCTTGCTTTCGTCCGTTCATGCGTCCGTCTGTGTAACCGTCCATGCGTCTATCCACCCGTCCGTGCTTGCACCTGTTCGTGCGTCCGTCCCTGCGTTCGTGCATGCAGCCGCCCCTGCGTCCGTTCATGCGTCCATCCATGCATCTGTCTATGTGTCCGTTCGTCCATCTATTCAACACTCCAAGTACCACCATCTCGCATCTTTTCATCATATATTCCCCATGTAGAAGCACCGCCATCCAGCGGAGATTCTAAGGACTAAACGAGAGGTGGCACACGCACACTTTCTTACGGCTTGCGCTTCGGGTCTACTTCCCACCTTTAACCACCTCGAGTTCATGGTATATACTAGTTCACTGTATTCATGACACTGTGGCCCGACGCTTGCTGAACCTCTCCAAAACCAAGGAGGTTACGCCAAGAGAGTATGACGTAGCAACCATTTTCTGTCAGTTAGTGCTCAATGTACATGCCAATGGCTGCTAATAGGAATGAGAGACAGGACAATTCGGCTTTTACTTTCTTACGGCTTGCGCTTCGTATCTACTTCCCAACTTTAACCACCTCGAGTTTATAGTATATTCTAGTTTATTGTATATAGCTGCATGGTTTATCTGTTTTCTTTCCAACCGCTGACAATTCGTAACAGCAAAGAACTTTAACTCACATCCTTTACGTGTCCGTTCTGGTGTACCTAAGGGTTCGTTCTCGGGCTTCTTCTGTTTCTAATCTATATAAATGACTTACTGACTAAGATTTCTTCTTCAATTAATGTTTTTGCAGATTATTGTGGTATTTATCACGAAATTAACGACAATAACGATGTCTCTTGCCTGCAATTTGACATTAACAAGGTCATGAACTGGCGCATTACTTGAAACATGAAACTAAACATTAGTAAGTGTAAGCACATGCACATTTCTCGAAATTCTAGCCCAGCTTCCACTTACCACATTAACAATGTCTTTCCTGAAACTGTGCTCTCCTATAAGTACCCAGGAGTTCACATTTCTTCTAACCTGTCTTGGAAAACTCATATTCATTATATCATAAATAACGCCGACCGCATGCTTGGGCATATTCGCAGGAACTTCTCTCATTCATCTAGTTCAATAAAACTATTACTTTATAAAACACTGGTTCACTCAAAATTAGAGTATTCTGCATCTGTCTGGAGCCCTGGCATTGAATCACTAATTTCCGATTTGGAAGCTGTGCAGAACCGTGCCTGCCACTTCATACTCTCCAACTATCACTGAACAAGCAGCGTAACCACCATGAAATTAAGTTTGTCCCTCCTTCCTCTTTCTCATCGCAGGTCAGTAGCTTCACTATGTCTTTTTCACAAAATTTATTAAAACAGCTATCTGAAACAGAAATTATTAGCAAGGCCATCATACATATCAGCTCGCATTGATCACCGCAATAAAGTTCTATCAAGTCACACCAAAACGTTTTCATGACTCATTCATACCCAGAACTTGAGTCATTTGGATTGATATTCCCCATGATATCGCATATATAGCTGATAATAATATGTTTAGTAAAACCATTGATCTTCTCTAAATGTTTGTGTATATATATATATGTTTGTTTATACGTATACATATATGTGCGTATATATAAGCTTATTTTTGTTAGTATACCTTTTTCCCTATTGAATTGTCATTTATGCCTACTTTATTTCACTTATGTGCTGTGAGTTTTTTCCTTGCTGTTTTAATTTGCTTCTGTTATGTATATCCCCCCTACAATACAATAATTATAAATAGAGTACAATAAGTATTAAATAAATAAATTAATTAATTCATTGCACTGCAGCTCAACGCTCGCTAAATCTTCCTAGAACTTCGCAGGTTACACCCTGCGAGTATAACGTAGTAACCCTTTCTTGTCAGATAGCGCTCAATGTACATGCAAACGGCTGCTAATGAGGGTCGCAGCGGGCGCGTTAACTAAAAGCCAAATGCTCTTGTCTATCATTCCCCCTTAGCAGCCATTGGCAGGTACATTGAGCATCATCTTTTATTGTTCAACAACACACAGAGGAAATCTTTCACCGGCACCACCTTAGAGGTCAAAAAGTTATACTTGTTACACACTACAACGGACACGAGGGATGAACGAATGCCGTTATAAGGAACTTCGCCCCTAAAAGCTGTGGAAGAAGCTTGGTAATCACAAGCTCCTCTGATTGCCCCAGCGTTGCTCAAGTAATGATTCCTGACAAAATTATATACAAAGAAGCTGCAGCTTAGCGTCATAGCTTTTGTAAGCGCGAAAGACGCGTAACATGAACAAATAACATAAGGGAAGTGCTACTTCAGCAGCAAATTTATTCGTTTGTTACACCAAAAAGTAGGTGTAGCCACCAAAGAGAAAAATTGCAAAAAACTACACACTCAAAAGAACAAGTTAACTAAAATTGTAAGAATTGTTGGAGCTTAACGTCCTAAAATAAGCTCATGATTATGAGACACGCGGTAGTCGAGTGCTCCAAAAATTTCGACCACCTGAAGTTGTCTAACGTGCACCTTAATCTAAGCACATGGGCCTCAACCATTTTCGCCTCAACCGAAAATGCTACCGCCGCTGCCGAGAATAATCTAACTAAAAAGGCATAATATTGTAAGGCAGCGTTCATTCGTACT